TCCTGTTGTAGGAATTAGAATGTTAAGCCTGCCAATGGTTAGGAGCATCTTTAGTGATTCTTAACCTTTCTTCACCTTACAGAATACTTTATAAATCCGATGAAAGCTCTCCCTAGAGAGCATAGATACAAACTTTTATACACCATCTCAGTGTGTACAGAATTCTAGAAACCTACCGAAGGATACTCCCAGGTTAAACTCCAGACTAGTACTTCTCAAAATGTCATGCATGGATTTTCTCCATTAGAACTATCTGTGAGGTCTTACTAGAGATCCATCTGCTGGGGCTCTGTCCTAGGCCCAGTAAAACAGCAACCTGAGGAAGGGGCCCAGCAATCTGCCAATTATATAGTCAGTCCAAGTGATTTTGATAACACATTCAAGTTTGAATTGCCCATTGATGTAGATCGATTTTTTTCATTTGCAAAGTCACTTGATCAAAGTGACTTTTACATGGTAAAATGGCAAAAACGAGATGCAAATGTTTTATTTCATATTCTACAAAACAAAGATTATATGCTTGAAATCCTACATTTATTATATGTTTGCATGTAACTTTCAGGAAACAAATAGTGATACGTTTTTAAGCTTCAGAATTTTTAATTCATAGTAAAATTAATTTTAATTTTAGTAAAATTCTGAAACTTTTAATTTTTAGTGAAATTCTGAAGCTCTATAGAGAATTATAGAATATGGTTGTGATACTTTGCTAACTAGAAACTCTTTCTTACTCTAATATATAAATATATAAAATATGATATATAAAAATATATCATGAAATGCTTAGATGCCTCAGATTCTATGATATCATTTATTTTTGTTTGTTTTAATACATGTCTCTCAGTAGTTGTGTCAATAAGGAGTTTTGATGAGGAGCACCTGGATGGCTCAGTTGGTCAAGCATCTGCCTTCAGCTTAGGTCATGATCCTGGGGTTCTAGGATGGAGCCTTCTGTTGGGGCGGCGGTGGGGGGGGGGTGCTCCCCTGCTCAGCAGGAAGCCTGCTTCTCACTTTCCCTCTGCCCCTCCCCCTGCTTGTGCATGCACATGCTCTCTCTCTCTTTCAAATAAATAAAATCTTTTTTAAAAATAGAGTTTTGGTGAGTAGACTTATTTTATTTTTTAGACTTGTATTTCCAAAGCTTTAGGCCTAGAACATTTCTTATTGAATGGAATTCCCATATATTTTTGTAACATAAACATGGTACTGAGCTTGGAAAAGGTAAACACTATCTACTCAGAGATGTTTTATCTTCTAAAAGGCAAAGAGAAAAGTTTTCCTTTCATCACTGCATTCATTAACTTCTTATTTAATAGCCCACTTAGAAGTTAACCTCCTATTTCTCGTCTTCCCCCACCAACAAGGATTTTTGTCATCCTGTCTAGCACTGGGGTTAACTGTGCCTTCTCCATTAGCCTAGGAGACCCTGGAGGGCAGGCAGGTCCCATCCTTTAGTCATTTCTATAGGATTCCCTATCAGAAGGCTCCATGAGGAGATACACAGCCAGCATTTAATATAATTCACTCAACGAACACTTACTGATGCTTGCTCTGCGGCATGCTCTGTGCTAATCACTGGGTCTTACGCTGATGAAAATGAGGTCACTATGGTTCACACAACGTAAGAGTAAACGTACTAGGAAGGGCTGTGCCCAGGCCTATGTTCTGTGAAGCTTGCTCCTGCAGCTGTAAGTTGGAGGGGCTGGAGGGGGCTGATGGTGGGCTGCCAAGGAACCAGTCGTCAGGCCAGGCTGTGTGCTGCGGTGAGACTGGCCACGCCATCTTTAATATGTGTCCTACCTTCACTCTTTCTGTGACACTAGGCCTCATTTTTCTGAACCTGTTTTTTTTTTATTAAAGATTTCATTTATTTATTCATGAAAGACACATAGAGAGGCAGAGACATAGGCAGAGGGAGAAGCAGGCTCCCTGCAAGGAGCCCGACATGGGACTCGATCTCAGGACCCCAGGATCATGACCTGAGCAGAAGGCAGACACTCAACCACTGAGCCACCCAGGTGCCCCTGAACCTCATTTTTAAACATTTTTAAACATAGGCCTTATGAAGGGGTTCTTTTATATCTTGGATACAAAGGCTTCTAAAGTTGAGAGTTTATGGCTCCTGGCCTAGCAGAGGGGCCTCTCTCATTATCCTGCTCCTCCCTACACCTCAAAAGGGTTGGTTCTATGGCAGCAAAGTACCTCTCCTGGAGCCCAAAGTGGGTCAGGCTGGTTACAGTAGACACACCAGGCTGACCACATACACAGGAGGGCAGAGGCCACAGGCAGTTTTGCTCGCTCAGGTGGATTCCAGGATGTCTCAATGTCCACGCTGAGATAGAAGGAACCAGATCTATTCACCAGGATAAGGACTGTGCCTTGCTGAGTATTTGCACTTTCAGCAGCATTAAAGGAAGTCTTTTCTTGTCAGCCCTCCTCTTGAGCCTTATTACATAATCCACATCTTTCTCTGGGTTTCTTCCTTCTAGCATTTCAAAGCTGTCTTTTTTTCCCCTCCCTGTGTACATGGCATATTTCCTCTGTGGTTCTCCCCTGTATAATGTCCTTGGACAACTCTGGAAGGAGAAGGAGACTTTGCCTGCTTTCTGATGATCTGACACAAGAGCACAGGCTGAGTTTGAACACGGATGTTAAGAGGCTGCCAAGAATCCAAACTCCATCCAGAAAGTCAGATGCTCTCTTCTTGGAATAAAAAAATCCACTCTCGGGTGGGGTGGGAGAGGTGAAGGAGGGAGATGATGTTTTATAGGTACATCAGTTGTACCACAAAATGCTGAGCTGGGTTTCATGTTCCCACACACAGCCCCACCCCCATCTTGAGGCTGGTGCTTTTCCAGCCTGAGTATTTCCAGTATGTAAATGAAATACCTCATTTCCTGCATTTCAACTAATTCTTCAAAGGCAAACCTCTCTCATTTTAAACAAATAGTGAGGGATGTGGCACACAGAGCTTTCTTAAACACAGAGTGACAGCTTGCATGACCTCCAGTGATATGAAAGTAGCTGTGACAAATCTCATTTGTCTGTACTTTCCTTGGGGCTGAGACTGAAGACAGTTGTGAGGCTCAGGCTAACTCCTAGGTGATAAAATGTGAGAAGATGTGACTTGGAAAACCACGGAGAGTGGTTTAATAATATAGGAAAATGCATATCATCCCACTTCTCTGCAAAAGTAATTTATATCAAGTGAACAATAAATGCATTTCTCAGCACTTCTACATGAAAAAGCTCTATGTGATAAAAACTAATGTCTTAGATCTTAGAAATGGCACAGTGATCTTATACTATACACACATGCCACTCTAGGTGTACCTTTCTACACACATTTAAGGAGGTAGTTTTGTGTATACCGTAGCCCTTGGCTGCTCAGTTTTGGTTTCATGATAACCCTAGGTCACTGATGCTCATCAGTGATCCTTACATGATTACTGGGTTTCTAATAAATGCTGTAGCAACCATCTGTAAACTCATCACTCAAAACCACAGCCATCTGACTTAGATATGATATGTATCTAATCATGTGGTCCTACCCCCTATCCCATACCTTGCCTCTTCCCCCCTGCATGTAGCCATCAGTCTGGATCCTGTGTTCATCACTCTTGCTTTCCTTTTTTACACAATTTTATTGCATTTATTTGTAGTCCTATAAAATTTTTAAAAAATCTTATCTGCGTTTAATTCAGAGTATTTTAAGACTGACTTTTTGCACTTAATGTTTCAGTGATGCTACAGTTCAACTGCTTTGCCTGCTATGTGAACATATCATAGTTTATTTTCCACTCACCCTTTGATGGGCATTTGGGCTGCTTCCCAGCTTTGCTGTTGCAAACAGTGTAGCCGGAGCATTCTTACACATGCCCCTGCTTGTACACATGTAAGGATAGGATTGCTGGAGCACTGGCTCAGTGAAACTCTCAACTTCAGCAGGTCAAAGCAGTGTTCATACTTTATACAATCATTCCCCACACATAGGTGTACCTGGATGGTTCACATCACTCAAATTGATGGTTGATACATTTAAAGGATAAAAGTAGTATTTTCCATTTGGTATTTCCATCAGAAAAAGTTCAAAGAAAAACCACACATTTCTTCCAAAAGCCTAACATGCTATACGGATGCACGAAATGGAATGTCTTAGATCTTGCCAAATCTAGAACCAGTACAACTGATAAGCTCAGAAGAACCAAGATTATACCACTGCAGTTGAAATGATACCTTCCACGGATAGTTTTATCTAAATTCCAGGGTGTAAACAGTGCAGAATGCTGAGTTAAGAGGCCACATTGTAGACCTTATGCCCAAATGAATACTGGACCTCCCCACCCCCTCCCAATGGTGCTATTGGAGGAATCTAGGTTGTTTGCTTTTCTGCAAATAGGAGGGCATTTCGTGGTGAAAAAGCGTCCCATGTACTTTCTCTTTAATGGAGCGAGGTGCAGTTACCTTTTACATGCCAAACTGTTGTGTAATTAACAGTTTGTCGATAATCATCATCAAACACTATTATCTGAGATTTCCACTGTAGTTTCACCCAACACTGTCATCCTTTGAACTCTAGTCAGTGATTTTTTAAAAATATTTTATTTATTTTATTCATGAGAGACACACAGAGAGAGGCAGACACATAGGCAGAAGGAGAAGCAGACTCCCTGTGGGGAGCCCCATGCAGGATTTGATCCCAGAATCACGATGTGAGCCAAAGGCTGACGCTCACCCACTGAGCCACCCAGACGCCCCTCTAGTCAATGTTTTGACCGAACTATTACTCTTCTTATTCAGAAACTGCTTGACTTTGGCCCGGAACAAAACTCATCCCTCTGCATTTTTAAGAACCTCCACTTTCCCTTTTGTTTGGCAAATCATCAGCATTTGAAACAAACGGGCTACTTGGAGTTGCAACCCCCTACCTAGGAAGCTATGTTTCAGGAAGATGAGGTGCTTTGTGGCCTGGAGAAGACAAGAGACTGAAGATGACTTACCTTCACGTAGAGCTGCTGAAACTCCTCGAGGTTCAGCCTCCCACTTGGACAGTCCTTGAGGAAACCTTTGTACCACTGCTTGAGCTCATGCTCGTTAAACTCCGTGCTCTTCACCAGATCCTCCATCACTTCGGGGGCCAGTTTGCTATTCTGTTTCCCCATCCTGCCTGGAGAAAAACAAATTAATGCAATTAGCTGTGATCATTTCAAGCCTGATTAGGAGCCAAGTCAGAGTAGAGCCCTAAATAGGCCTGTGATGGCAACTCCCTCCACTGTGTCAGATCAACCCCCCAACCCCCCAAGTCTGCCTCCTTCTATTTGGCATTCCAGAAAGGAGATGAGTGAAGAAAGACCCTTGTGGGGCTCGAAAGGTGGTAGGGCTCTTCCTCCTCCATCATGCGTTCCCATTCACATTGCATCGACTCCCACATGGAAAGGCAGCCATCCCTGTTGGTGCTATTTGTGTAAAGTATATGGGCACTGTTTCTCTTTCCTTCTAGGAATTAAAATGCAGCAGCGCTTGCTGCCTAGATAGCTAATTCCACATTTAGTTTGTAAGAATATCAAGTGGGATTATTGACACACGCAATGAGAAGGCTTTACAGGCAAATGGTTATAAGCAGACTTGGGAAATCTGATCAGCAATGGTAGCAAATCTCAGCTGGTTCTAACATTGCAGCTTTTCTTTTTTTTTAAATAGAAACAGCTTATTTTTATTAGCCAAATTAATTCTCTTTCTCCTCTCCTCTTCAGAGGTTTTCTATAACTTCGCCATCAGTGTTGACAAACTTGATGGCTTTTTAGAGAGATTGGGTGGTGAACTTCAGTTGACCTAATTCCATTCTCCTAGTATTACTGCTAGTAAGTAAAAGTAACAATACATAAAATAATGTTACCTATATCTGTTATGTGCTAGGTTATGGAATGTTTACTAGCTGTGTTACTTAGGGCAATATTAATTAACGGCATTATCTCAAATTTCTTCCTTAATGAAATAAATATAATGACAAAACTCTTCAGATTTACTGTGATGGCTAATTAAGATATAAGCAGATAAATAAAAATAAACAATACTCCATAGTTAAACTAGTTTTTGCACTAGTGCAGGAAAATTAAAGTGAATTTTTTTTAAAAAAAATTTCCCTTCAATCTTGTTTTATTTTAAAAATTTTTTTAAATATTTTATTTATTTATTCATGAGAGACACACACAGAGAGAGGCAGAGACAACAGGCAGAGAGAGAAGCAGGCTCCATGCAGGAAGCCCGATGTGGGACTTGATCTAGGGACCCCAGGATCACGCCCTGGGCCCAAGGTAGTTGCTCAACCACTGAGCCACCCAGGCATCCCTCAATGTTGTTGTTTTATAACGAAAAGAGTGAAAGCTGAACAAATTAACTAGAGTCAAATTAAAATAAAAAATCTGAAGGACCACCAGAATAAGGAAAGTGTCACAAGATCTGCAAAATCCTGATACAGGAACTCAATTAGGCTTTGAAAAATTTACTCAAGTGAATGTAGGGCTTTAATGTGCTGGAGACACATTCTCTCCTCGTCTCTAGGCAGGTCCATGCTTGCAATCACCCAGAAGGGGTAATCTCATCACAGACTTTGTTGTTTTTGACTTTTTGCCTTCTTTTACAAGAGATTCCACACCCATTGTCAGTGACCTGCCCTAACACTGAACAATTCTTTCACTGTGATGAAACCAAACCACTCGTGCTACTTTCAGGGAAAGCTTTCTCCTCAGCACCATCCCAACCTAACACAATGAGAAGATATCATTAAAATGGCCATTTGTCTTCCGAACTCATCTGTTTGAGCAAAGGACCCCAGGATCAGCAACTATATCCTTTATCATGGAGTGTCTCTGCTTATTTTTGCTCTTGATTTCAAGCTCCACGTCTCACATTAGCAACAGTCTCTTAATTATAGGTTACTGTGGGATCCCACAGCTGGATATGGAAATCAAGTTGGAGACTCAGGTGTCAAATTTCATTAATCTGGGTGAGAAAACTGTAATCCGTGGTTATCCTGCTATCCAAAAGATGTATTACCAAACTTTCAGGATTTCACTTTGTTGTTTTCAGTAAAGAATTACAAATTTGCATTACTGAACCAGAATCTCACCTAAGAGTAACAGCTGCTGAAAGCTGAGTGTTGGCTGTGGGATAGGCACTGTGTTGAGCACTCTCCATACGTAATCTTGAACCCTATGACAACTCAGCAGTAAGTATTCGGGCAGCTCTCCTGTACAAGACCATACAAGTGAAGTGCGGCAGAGCCAGAATTTGAACCTGGATTAGCAAGACTCTAATGTACAATCACAGACAGACAGGTGGATGGAAGGCATCTCAGAAGGAACAGGAGGAGCAAAAGCTGGAAGGTTTGTGAGGCTGAATCAGCGCCTCTTGGCACTCAAAGAAGGGATGAGAGAGGGATCAGTCACTTTGCCAGGCCCTATTTTAGAAAAACTGTTGGAGTTTACCAAAACCACAAGCCAGAGTGAGTTTGTATTAACGATGGGAAAATGGATTAAGGATTATTAAAAACTGCCTCTCTCAAATGCCTTTAGAAGGTCAACAGTATGGGAGCGCCTGGGTGGCTCCGTGGGTTGAGCGTCCAACTCTTGGTTTTGGCTCAGGTCCTGATGTCAGAGTTGTGCGATCAAGCCCTGCTATGGGCTCTGAGCTCGGTGCAGAGTCTGCTTAAAGATTCTCTCTCTTCTCCATCTGACCTTCCTCTGCATACGTGTGTGCTTACGTGCACTCTTTCTCTCAAATAAATAAATAAATCTTAAAAAAAAAAAAAAAAGAAAGGTCAACAGCATGTCAGCTTCTCTCTTAAGCAAGGAAGCTTGGATTCTTCAGGGATCACTTATGGTACCTGAAACTGTTCCTGCTGTTTACTGGGGAGCAGGTGGTCTCACACAGGGGACACCATCAGGACCATAAGTCACAGTTTTGGAGACTCACATGCATAATTTCATGCTTCTTGACTATGGGTCATGGTCAGCAACTATCAGTCAGGTGTGCCTGGCAGTAGATGAATCATATAGAAAATCAAGTTCTGGCCTGGCTCAATGTGGCACTGCCGCTGGTATCATCAGGCCTCGTTTGGATTAATGATTCTCCCCAAGCTCCCTGACTCCAGCCCACCTTCTGCACGGCTGCTTGAATGAATTTCTAAAATACAAACCTTACCATCTGATCCTTTCCCTAAAACTGTCAACACTTCTCATTGTCTACAGGATGTAGCCCCATCTCCCTAGCCTGGCACCTGTCCTGCCTACTCACATCCTCGTTTTCTGCCCATCTGTCTTTTCACTTGTTCAGCAGTCTTCTCTTTCTTTAAGTAGCCTTAGCTCACATGCCACCCACTCTGTGAAACCTTTGGGGACTTGCCAAGGCTGACTTAGACATCCTTTCACCTAGACATCCCCACTCCCTTGTAAAAGCTTCCATGGTCATTATTTATTTCTCTACTGAATTGTTAGTTTCTTTTATTCATCTTTTATTCATCTTTTATTTTATTCATCTTTTATTCATCTTTGCATCCCGGCTATCTCATACTAGCTGCTCAACAAGTATTTTTTGAGGGAACAAATGAATGAGGGGCACTGAACCAATGTGAAACAGATACTCAAGGACCCTGGCCTTGGTCTTCATCAAGTTGTGGTATTTGGTATGTTTCTTTCTGGAAGGATAGTCTCATAGTAATCTATATATGAAAAGAATCAATGCAATCATAAGTATAAATATAATGTGCAGGCAACAGATGGGAGGAATGTTTTATTTAACTCTATGGAAAATTGCCTGCCCTCCCAGAGACTGTTTTTTTGTGGTTGCCTTCATCACTAAATTTTGAACACCTTGAAGCCAGGGCTCATGTCTTTTGTCTCAATATCTTCATTATTTGGCATACAGGTGGTGCTGAGTGATGTCTGCTCCATGAAGGAAAGCATTGATGGATTAACACTCCCCACCTACACTCCCTTTGTCCTGGAGCTACAGTGATACAGGCCTGTAGTGTCTTTCATTATGAGATAAAGATGACAGGAAGGGTAAAAATGACAGTAAAGCATATCACATTCCCAATAAAAAGATTTCATGACACAAATAAAAGAAAATAAAAGATGTGTGTCTGAGGGTGGGGTAGGGGTGTGTGTGTTATTCCAGTTCTGTTTTTAGTTCATTCTGTTATCTTGGGACCCAATCCTTTCTCTGTTGCTCAGTTTCCTCATTTGAAAAACAAGTGAGTTGGACCAGATGCCCCTTTCAACTCCACCATTCAGTGATCAGCAGCATCAGTTCTGCAAATATGAAATGATGAGTCACAGACTTCAAATCAACTTGTCTCAAAAGAGTCCACACATGTTGGCTCTGTGGATTCCTTACCTGGGCACCGGTTGGTACTTGAACATTTGTTGCCTAAGAAGGGAGGGGACAGACACTGGAGTGTATTATTTGAAAGCAAGCATTCCAGGTTATAAGATAAAAACCAGGGAAGCTCCAAACCAAATTATATCTCATGGTTTGAGTTGCAGTAGAGAGATACTCAGGGTGAGGCACAAAACAGGCTGGTGGAGGGGTTTTGGCATGCAAAAGAACACCACCAGGAATGGGCTCGTGGATGAGGAGAGCCCAGTACCAAATTGCAAATGATGCCAGAAAAGACCACATTTTTATACTCCACAGTTTACAAAAGGCTCCATGCAACAACATTTACCCTTGTAACAATCCAGTATGAAAGAGATTATAATCACCCCCCTTTTACTGAGGAGGGCTTTGAAGCTCAGAGAGAAAGAGTACTTCACTTTAGCTCAACCAGCTAATAAAGCTGAGTACAGAATAAAAGTCATTCTCTAGAACCCCCTTGGTTTCCTAATACAGGCCATCATCTTCTCTTGACTGGATTCTGCAACCACCTTCTCACTGGCCTTCCTGCCTTGAGTTCTGCTCACCTCTCTTCCACTTCCTACAGTCTCTATAGCAGAACTCCAGAGCAGAGGAGGCAAAGCATGTACGAGTGAGTGCCCTCAGGACACATCTGGGAGACTTCCTATAGGATGATTGGGCCTGCCAGGGAAGGCAAGATGTGCCCGTGAGCATCTTTCCTCCACAAACCCATTGGGTCTTAGAGAGGACTTGAGTAGTACGTGTGTGTGC